TGCTCTCATGCAGGAGTCCGRCACAACAATGAAACCAAGTTCGGCTCGACATCCTCAGACAGACGGGAAGACGGAGCGGGCACATCAAACCGCTGAAATGATGCTTCGTACGCTCATCCGTCCGGACCAGAAAGATTGGGTTGACCGTCTCCCCGACATCGAGTTTGCCTACAACACTTCGCTGCATCCGGCGATCGGCGTGACTCCATTCGAGTTGCACCACGGTGGACGGAAAGGCTGGATCTTCGCCGACCTTCTCCTCCCTCGACCAGCCGATATTGACGCTGCTTGCTCTCCCAGTTCCGTCTGGAAGTACAGGGAATTGCTGACTCAAGCCCGTGCAAATATGCAAAAGGCTCAAGTCCGCATGCAGCAGCAAGCCAACAGGCGTCGCGTACCATGTCCCATCCGCGCCGGTGATCTGGATTGGGTCTCCGCGGACTTCCCGGGCAGACGGTCACAGGACCCTCCTTCAATGGATGGTCATCAGGAGGGCGACCGCGTCCTCGCTCATCGCAAGCAGGGCAACAAGCCAATGCAGTATAAAGTTACATTCAAGCAATGTGATCCCGACGACACACGCTGGATTTCACGAGCTGACCTGAAGGCGACAGCACCCCTCATCTTCGCGCATTATGAAAATCAGCGACTTGCTAAGGAAGCTGCCTAACCTGCCCGCCCCGTACGGATGTCGGACAGACAGCTTCGCCCTCGGAGTTAGCTCGGTCTTCAAGGGGGGGATTGTGTGGCATTCTGAGCCACACGGGGGTTAGTTAGGGCCCGGTTCCAGATAGGCAGGGTAGGCCTAAGGGGACGACAGTTCAGATGAGGCCTAGATAGGCCAGGACCACAGCCGTTCAGGCAGGCCAGGGGTAGAGGCCCAGGCCAACGGCCTCAAGGCCGGTACCGGTCCAGCATAGGACCTACCGGTGGCGCTGCAGAGGCTGCCGCGTTTAGGCCCCAAGTCGAGTTTTAAAACTGGACCGTTGATCAGATCAACGGTCCAGGCCGGTAGGTACCAGCAGGTAGGAGGCCGGCCCAGCACTACAAAAGGCTGGGTACCAGCCTCAGTAAGGAGGTTAGTAGACAGGAGGTAGTCTTCAGGATTAGCGCAGCGTTGCAGCGTTAGGAAGATTAGCGCAGCGCAGCAGCATTAGTGCGAGCAGCAAGGCGAGATCAAGACAGCGGCGAGGAGGAACCAGCGCAGCAGGGACAGCGCCAGCCCGCGGCCCAGCGCCAGCCTCCTGCAGCGACATAGCTACCGGGACAGGTACCAGGGAGGAAGGCCTCGCTTTCTCTCCCTCTTCCTCCACCGCCACTCTCTCTTTCTCTCTCTCTCTCTCTCTCTCTCCTCCTACCCTCTCAGTCTAGTCTACTTCTGGGCTCTCCTACGGGACTACTATAAGTATGAAAGATGGTTATGAATTCTGAGGACATTGGAGACAGCGACATTGGGACTATAGGTTGAGGACTACTTGTGGGATCTGATTTCATCTGCCTCTGGAGATGTACTTGACATTGTGAGATCGATATCTGAGACATTGTGGGACACTGTATTCGCGACATTTCGGACTTTCACCATGTCCGACATTTCAAGATACTATCTTTGGAAACGTGGAGTTGACGTCATCTTTCCTCTCCTCTTCCCTTCGTCTCTCTCCTCCCTCCATTCGTCCGTGGATGATCCCAGACCCTGGCCTTTTGGTCTATGTCCAAGGCCAAGGCTTTCACACCCCTGATGAATGATTGAGAGTGTTCGATTGCAGTCCGAGTCAGGTCAGAGTCAGTCCATGTATCTCAAGTCTTCCGCTGTGTTTGTATTTACTCTGTATTATCTGGTCGGTTCTGGGAATCTGCACCATACTTGTGACTGTGTTTCATGAGTATGCAACAGTTTGGTATCGGTGCAGTCCAGCATTGGATGACTCACCATTGATTGATTGATTGATTGATTGATTGATAATCTACACCTGTACTCAGTTATCATTAAATCGCAAGTTGCAAATTTTTTCTTTTTTCTCGCACTTACATAGTAATTAGGTCGTTCAATTATAATTTTAGGTTTTGCGACTTTTCTCCATATTGGGCAAATTAGGGAATTGCTAATTACGAGTAACCTAATTAGCACAAATTAGGGTTAGTCCTAACCTAATCTGAACGGCCTATCAAACCTATGGGAAGTGCGTGCCAGCGAGGCACTGTGCCAGTTAAGGCAGATCGGGCCTGACCACGGCCACATTCAAAATTCAACTTCTCGGAACTGTCACTTTTTGCAAAACGCATCTTTATTGCGTTTAAAGGTTGAATCTTTCCAGCAAATTGTGTATCTTCCTACTACCATTTATCTTCTACTTACTTAGTGACGTCGTGATGATGCTAAATTCTCCCGATTAAATTTTGTGAAATTATTAAAGTTATGTTTAAATGTTTAAACTTGCTTAAACGTTATTCATTTTTGTTTATGCAAATTTAAATATTCTTTAGTTAAACAAGTGGACCCGACACAGCTACGCCGCGGCAGAGAAGAGGGACAGAGAGGGAGGCGGGGCCGTTGTTGTTCCACTGCCGGGCTTTTTTTATTATTATTATTTTTTTTGTCGTCATATTCGCTATACACGCAAAAATATCTCTCTCTCTCTCTCTCTCTCTCTCTCTTATCCTATCGACGAAAGTAGCCTCTCTGTGGCATACTGTGCAGCCACACGGGCCTTGCAGGGCCCGTCCCGGACCTCCAGCTTGTTTCCCTACAGGGAAACTTCCAGGCTCTTGCCTGGAAGCTTCCTTCTGGCAGGGCCTACAGGCCCCAGCCTGTTTCCCTACAGGGAAACTTCCAGGCTCTTGCCTGGAAGCTTCCTTCTGACAGGGCCTACAGGCCCCAGCCTGTTTCCCTACAGGGAAACTTCCAGGCTCTT